TAATATGAGACATGTTTATTCAGCCTGCCATCTTAAATTGGAAGTCAGCTTACGCTTCTCTAAGGAGAATCAAGTATAAAACTGTGGCAACACTTCATTGCCTTCCCAGTCTAGTTGGAGAGAAAATGCATATGTCAAAAGAGATAAGGAATCTCATTACTAACTAGAACCATAGGTGGAATACTTGGCAAACAATGTATAGTATTTGGACCACTCTGATTTGACTCCATGTTTCTATCATTTGAAAATCAATTAAAAATAATTGAGAGGAAGAAAAGGAACATAGCAAGACAATTGAGCATCAGTATTTTTATAATTCTGAAATAATTTTTTTTCCAAGATGAATTTTAAAATGTGGAATAAAGCGAAGTGTGAGAAAGGGGAGTCTTAGAGGTGTTAGATGGTTAACTTAATATGAGCACATTCAAGTCAGCCTATCCCCTTTATAAGTGCCTGATATCTTTAGCAGGCATGTCTGCAGCTTCTAAATACTTCTATATTTTTCTGGTCATTCCTTTGTTCATTTATTTATTCAACAATTGTGATTCCTTCCTATAAAAAATAAATGCCTATTTTGTCCAAACAGATGTCACATGTGACAGTGTAAGCCCAAACACCAAATGTTTCTCCTTAAGCAAGTCTTACATGTAGATTGAATAAAAATCTACATAAATCTGCATTTCTTGGTTCTTACAGGCAGAATATCATGTATTGTGAAGCATATCAATGAGGGTGATTAGAGAATATTTGAAGAAGGAAGAACAAGAAAAATAGATCCATATTAATCTCTGAAGGGCTTCCCTGGTGGCTCAGATGGTAAAGAATCCACCTGCAATGCAGGAGATCCAGGTTCGATCCCTGGGTTGGGAAGATCCCCTGGAGAAGGGAATGGCTACCCACTGTAGTATTCTTGCCTGGAGAATCCCAGGGACAGAGGAGCCTGGCGGTCTCCAGTTCATGGGGTCCCAAAGAATTGGACATGACCGAGCGACTAACACTTCCACTTTAAATTTCTGAATGGAGTCAAAGAATAATGTATTACCATGAGTCATTATAATTCTATCAGCATTTTATTCCAAAGGTACCATGTGTGGTGTAACCTTGGCACTAAAAGTAGAAGTTATTTTATATAGCAGAAGTAGCAGCTGAGAAATTTGACTTGGCATGAGCAATTCACTTAACTCTTTATAATTCAGTCCACCTTTTTTTCAAGTGAGGTTTGGACTAAATAATCATTAATGATCTTATTGATACTAAATCTGGGATTCTTCAAGTACTTACTGAATGATAGTTGTTTGCAGGTATTAGGCTAAGTCCTTTGGGAAATACTAAGATATATATGTCATAAACCCTGGCCTTCAGGAGAAGATAAATCCAAAAGTGCAAATAAAGGTGTACACAAATACCACATTATGTAGGTGTGTGTATATTGTAAAAACTAGATAAAAGAATCAATTAAGTGAAAGAGAAGAGAATTGAATTTCTGACCTGGGCAATTGAGAATGAATGCATAAAGGATCATATGAGTTATGATACTTCACTCGAGTAAGATTTTGGTAGACAGCCACCTTGAAGAGAATAATGTACCCCCATCAGCCTAAGTTGAGATGTAGAGATGAGAAAACATGAAGTGTGTTTAGGAAAGTGCAAGTTGCACATGTGGCTCAGTGGCTCAGTCGTGTCTGACTCTTTGCAACCTCATGGACTGTAGCTCACCAGGCTCCTCTGTCCATGGGATTTTCTAGGCAATAATACTGCAGTGTGAGTAGCCATTTCCTCTTACAGGGGATCTTTCTGACCCAGGGATCAAACCTGCTTCTCCTGCATTGGCAGGTGGATTCTTTACCACTTAGCCACCAGGGAAGCTAAGTCAGCTTTATTAGAGTATTGGGAAAGGAAGTAGAAAATATACCTAGAGGTAACATTGTGAGTGGTCTCACCTACAATTTAAGACAAGTATTGTAAATTTTTGAGACAGGGAGACCACCCAGCTACAGTTTATTCAGAGAACATATACAGGCGTAGAAGTAGCTAAGGATAAGAGAGGAGACCTGATGCTGAAATACCAATAAGGAAGCTATTACACTCAGCCAGGTAGAAGGTAGTTAGGACCAGAAGTAGGGCAGTGGCAATCCAGTGAAATGGTTGGGGCGGGTGAAAGAAAGGATGCATGCAATTCAATAAATGATTGGATAAATGTAAGATTGGAACCAGTGTGACTGGAAAAATGGAGGCACCTTTAATAAAAATTGCTGAGACAAGAAGTAGATTTTTTTGAAGAAATAAAATGAGCTAATTCCCCATCTTTCAACAAATCCTTCCCACTTATGTAACAGCAATTTTGGTATAATAGCAAAGATAGAATATTCTTTGTGAATTCTCGTCCTTCTCTTGCAAAGCCATTCTGGTTTCTTAGGGATTTCTTTTGGTCACTTATTGTGAATCCAGATTGCCTTCTGTGCTCATTTGGGGAAGGATGGGAGTATAGGATAGAATGGAAAAAAGTTTTCTTTCAGAATATCATGAAGAATAGAAGTAAGAGCAGGATTTTACTTTAGATTTGGAAAAGCAGTTCAATTACAAATGATCCGTATCAAGAATTGTAATAGTAGAAAATGAAATCAAATTAAGTGCACCTATATACTAGAAACTATGAGGAAATAAGTGACAGAATTTTCATTACGCAAACAAAGCATGAACATATGATAGCTCTAATTAAAACTGCTGTTTCTCCCTTTTCTTAATTGTAGTAGTTGACCTATGCTCCACTTCATCTGAGTTGATAATCTGCACTTTATACGGGGTTGGGGGGGGGAGGCGGGGAAGGGAATGAAAGTAAAGGACTATTTATAATTAGTGAGGAGGGAGCTTAGGAGAAAAAAATAGAAGATTTGGAAATACTATATAAAGCTCTAAAAACAATTTTTAAACAGTTGTATAGTGTATAGGCAGTGGTGATTTTTTTTTTTTCTTCTGATTGCTACATAGCATCAGAGAGCAGAAAAAGTGATGCCAAATTATACTTCCACATGAAGGACTTCTCAGTGTCAGATTACCTGCATGAGAAACTTGTTAAAAAAAAAACAACAACCTGTTTTGGGGGCTCTGTGACAACCTAAAAGGGTGGGATGGGGAGGGAGGAGACATGGGTGTTGTTGTGACTGATTCTTGTTGATATATAACAGAAAATCACAAATTTCTGTAAAGCAAATATCCTTCCATTAAAAAAATTAAGTGGCAATAAAAAACCCTGTTTTGTGTATTGTATTACCTTCACAATGAGTATTCTCCTTTTGCATTGGAGTTTGAAGTGTTGGTTTTATCTTTTGCATGTAATTATTTGGTTATATGTAATTATTTAGCTGCCTTTAGATTCATAACTTGGGAAAGTTAAGAGATTTCTCTAATTCAGCATTTCTCTAAGTATGTTGTCATCTGTAGTTATATCTAAGAAAGGTCTCTGGGAACAATTAGGTTGAGAATTTGCTGGGTTAAACATCATTAACCAAGATTTTTTAAGTGGAGGTGGGGGAGGGTATGAAATATCAAAGACTTAAATAGGCTAATAGCAGTAAAGAATCTGCCTACAGTGCTGGAGATTCAGGCGACCTGGGTTCAGTCCCTGGGTTGGGAAGTTCCCCCGGTGGAGGAAATGGCAACCCACTCCAGTATTCTTGCCTGGAGAAGCCCATGGGCAGAGGAGCCTGGCAGGCTACAGTCCTTGGGGTTGAGGAGTTGGACGTGACTGAGCAACTGAGCACACACATGCACACATACATGATCCAGCCAAAAGGAAACTACATTTCGCAGCAGTTCACAGACGTATTTTACCACCATCCTTTCTCATGAAATCTTTTTCTGAACCATTGTTCCTCAGAACACTGTTCCTTAAATTTACAGATAAATTCAATAAAGAGATCATTGACTCATTCAAAGTTGCATGATGTTGACTTAAATAATTGGACTTGAATCAGGGTCTCCTACTTAACCATATTCAGATTGGCTTTCTTTTTCCCCCCAAATTCAAAAAAGTCTTTAAGAACTGCTGCATGGTACTTGAAACTAGATCTGTTAAATGTACACAAGGGAATTTGAAAAAATAAATAAAATTAGAATGATTTAATTACTTTAGTATTGTTTGAATTGGCACATCGGGTCAAAGAGCTGATTATTATTTGTAACCTAAGTTACATTTTTCCAATCAGGAAATTTAAAAAAAAAATCAAGTTATCTTTCAAATTAAAAAAAAAAAAGCTATAACAGTACAATAATGTGTGTATCCAAGAGCTTCCCCACTTCCCCCCCAAAAAAGATTGGAGAAAATGACTTTATACTTTGCTATCAGTTATTCCAGACCCCATAACTATATAAGTAAACATGAACCTTTTAAAAACTTCTCTGTATAGACAATATTATGGTAGATACACTGTTTTCCCCTTGATGTTTTTACTCAGCAGTATTACATATTTATCTTGTCCACATTAATACATGTAGATCTTTTAATGACTCAGTGGTATTATATTATATAGCTTTATCATAATGTATTTAATCAGTTTCCCATTGGTGGACTTTAGGGTGATTGTTGTTTAGTCTCTGTGTCTCTTTTAGACTCTTTGTGACCCCATGGTCTATAGCCCTCCAGGCTCCTCTGACCATGGGATTTCCCAGGCAAGAATACTGGAGTGGGTTGCCATTTCCTCCTCCAAGGGATCTCCCCAACCCACTGATTCAACCCTTGTCTCTTACATCTCCTGCATTAGCAGAAGCAGGCAGATTCTTTATGAAATGGTATGAGTTTATTCTTTCACTGCCAGCATTATTACAACAGGAAACTTTTAAATGGTATGCCTTTCACTGAACTTGAAAAAAAATGATTTTATATTTAATAATGAATAACTGGAGATGTCTTGCTATGTTGATCTTAAAATCACGAGATAATTTATAAAGCGTCAATAATAATCATAATCTCTTTTTCTGTCTTCCTCTTCTGCTCTTCTCAGAGCAAATTATTCATGGAAGGATTTAGAAGCCTAAAAGAAGGAGAACCAGTGGAATTCACATTTAAAAAATCTTCCAAAGGCCTTGAATCAATACGGGTAACAGGACCTGGTGGGAGTCCCTGTTTAGGAAGCGAAAGAAGACCCAAAGGGAAGACACTACAAAAAAGAAAACCAAAGGGAGACAGGTAATCATTTTACTTTGTTAGTCTGTGAGTTTATTTTATTTGGAAAAGATTTCTAAAATCTCAGTTCATATTTTTACCATGCTGTTAAATCTAGCCACAATAAAATAAAATGCCACCACTGAATGTTTGAATAGAATTGATCAGAAATATAGGCTATCTTGCAATTTGCAAGATTTGAACTCTCTGCAGAATATATTTAACTGAGCCTTCAGCATTAGGCACTGGGCAGTCCCTTAACCACTATTTCCACCAGACTATTCAGAAGTGAAGTTCCCAGTAGATGGAGGGAGGTGCCCTTCCATACATCCTAACACTTCACCTGTTTTTTTCAAATGAGAATATATTTATTGTTTTGACTGTTTTGAAAGATAATTCACTACTGAAAATTCAAATATAAAAAAATCACCAGATATCTTAACTACAGGTGGGTGGGAATCATATATGTGCAATTTTTTTGATTTTGCATTTTTTTCACTTAACAGTGTATGTGGAACATTTCATGTCAATCTTTATCATCTACATAAATTCCCACTGTGTGAATGTAACAAAATTTAAACAAGGCTCTGATAAATTAATGTAATTGTTAAATTTAGGCTATTTCCAATATTTTTAATTTACCAATAGCACTGTAGTAAGAATGCTTACATGTACATTTAAAAATTTGTCTGATTCTGTCATTAAGGGATACATCTCTAATACTGAAAAATCTGGATCAGAGACTATGCCCTTAAAAATTTTGGTATCTATTTCCAAACTGTTCTTTAGAAATAAGGTTAATGGATAACCCCTTTTGGACTGTTCATTGAATAATGTCATCTTTTAAATTTTTTCCAATTACATAGGTTAAGAAATGCAGGTCATTTTTTTCCTTTGCATGCTTTGACTAAGGTTACATATATTTTCATATGTTAATTTTCATTTTTATTTTTTTCTTCTATGAATTGCATGTTCTTTGTCCTTTGCTTATTTCTTCTGAGATGTTCATTTGTTATTGTTGATTTATAAGTTCTCTCTTAAGAAAAAAAAATCTCAGTTTTCCTCTTTCCTATGCTGGGAAAAACTCAGTTCTTCCATGTTATGTTTCCGTCCTTCGTGTCTCCATTACTTTTACACAGAACATTTAACTTCTGATCACCAAATATGCGGAGGTTTTTCCCCATACCAAGCAATTCTCAACAATCCAGCTGGATATTCTACAGTTGAACTCAGTTCTGACAACATCTACCTGGAGGTAGTATCAGGTCCCACAGGTTAAGGGGCTCTGTCCTACTGGACCATCCTACCATATTTCAGATGCTCATTGCCTTGCAACTTCTTTCTGAGTTGGCTATAAATCAGAGATTTCCAAGACCCCCTCTTCAGGTTTGATTAATTTGCTGCCGCAGCTCACAGAACTTAGAGAAACCCTTACATTTACCAGTTTTTTAAAGATTACGGTAACAGCAGATAAAGGATAGAGATAGAGATATTTTACATAGGGTGAGGTCGAGAAGGGTCCCAAGCATAGGAGATTCTGTTCTCAGGGGTTTGGGTGCTTCATCCTCCCAGTGTGGATGTGTATGCCAACCTGGGAGCTCTCTGGATCTTTACTTTTGGAATTTTATGGAGATTTCATCACATAGACTTTGATTTTCAGCCCCTTTCACTTCTCTCAAGAAAATTGGGATAGGGCTAAAAATTCCAAGCTTCTGATCATAGCTTGGTCTTTCCAGTGACCAGCCTCACTCATGAGCCATCTAGGAGCCCACTCAGTGTCTGTCACCTCATTAAATAGAAGACCCTCCTATCATGTAGGAAATTACAAGAGTTTCAAGGGCCCTGTGTCAGGAACAGAGGTCAAAAACTGATACCAGAAAAAGAGGTACTCCTAGTGTTTGTATCACTTATGAAATTACAAGGGTTTTAGGAGCTCTGTGCCAGGAACTAGGGGCAGAGACCAGTGTATTTCTTGTAATCTCACATTCTCTTTGTATACTTACCATATTAATCTTTTTTCTCAAATAGACAGGAAATATCTGTTTCAACTTGTGAAATATACATATGTCTGTGTGTGTGTGTGTATTTTTTACATAATATACATATAAGTAAAATACCATATGATCAAATAGTATATAATAAAATATGATATGATTTACCTTGCAAATACTATATAATCTCCCTTACGTATAGAATCTAAAAACAAAAACCAAGGTCTTGTAAACAGAAAACAGATTGGTGGTTGCCAGAGGAGACTTGGTGACCTTTCATATGAATTGATATTAGAGTTCTATTAAGAAATTGTTTATTTTGATGGGAATGATAAGGTGTGATTTTTCGATTACTGATACAGTCTCTTTTGATTACTGATTCTTACTGGTAACATATGCTTAGATTTTCTTTCTTCATGATCCAGGCTTGGTAGGTTACAAGTTTCTTGGAATTTATCTATTTATTTTGGTTTCTTCAATTTGTTGTTAGTTAGTCACTAAGTTGTGTCCAGTTCTTTTGCAGCCTCATGGACTATAGCCCATCAGGCTCTTCTCTTCATGGGATTTCCCAGGCAAGAATACTGGAGTGGNATATATATACACATTGATCCAGGGATCAAACTCAGGCCTCCCGTATTGCAGGAGGATTCTTTACCATCTCAGCCACCAGGGAAGCCTGTGAGGAGAGAGGTATGTGTCTCTTATTCAGGGTTCTGTCCTCATCCCTCAGCATAGTATCTAGAGAAGGGTTGACCAATGTGTTGACTATATATTCTAATACAGAATCTAAGTCCTAGGAGAATCAAGACAAAATAAAACATCAGATTGAGGGAGACAGAGCAGGTGTCATGAGGAGGTGGGTCATGACGAAACAGCTGACTGCATTGGGGGAGGGAAGAGATAAGGTATCCAGGTAGGGGAAGAGCTCAACCAAAAGTGAAAGGCAAAGTGGAAAGACTGCACAGGGCCCTGTAAGGACCTCAGATTGCATTCCAGTGCTCAGGAAGGAGACTGCTAGGAAGCAAAGCTGCAGTGTGTTCTCTGGGTGGGAGTGGTGTGTGGCTGATTAACTTCACCTGTGGACACGGTTCCCCAGGACAGGAGAGAAACCTTAGATGACAATTATGGAAAATCTTAGGGAAATGGGAAGTCATTCATGACTATGGAAAGGATTGTCCTTGGATAGATTTCTAGACACAGTTCATTCTAGCCTAGAGCTCTTAGATGAATCAGATGGCTCTTGTCCACAGTTGAGCAGAGCTTGTACAGAAATAGAGGGATCGAGGCGCATGCACACTGCACCATTGGCCAAATGTGCATGTCGACACAGCCTATCCGTTTCAGTTCCTCCTCGCAATCAGCCAGAGGCCTGCAGAGGGGCTCTCCAGGATTGAGGAACCGATGTAGGAAGAGGAGGAAGGCCGAATTACCTGACAAATTCAATACATGAGAACATTTGAAAGTGAAAGTGCTAGTCACTCAGTCCTGTCTGACTCCTGCAACTCCATGGACTGGAGCCCGTCAGGTTCCTCTGTTCATGGAATTCTCCAGGCAAGAATATTGGAGTTGCCATTGCCTTCTCCACGAGCTCTTCCTGATCCAGGGATTGAACCCAGGTCTCCTGCATTGCAGGCAGACTCTACGCTGTCTGATCACCAGAGAAGCCCAAGAAGATTTAGTTTTCAGTGAGAGTCGCTGTTGTGTCCCACTCTTTGCAACCCCGTGGACTGTAGCCTGCCAGGCCCCTTTGTCCATGGAATTCTCCAGGTCAGAATATTGACATGGGTAGCCATTCCCTTCTCCAGGGGATCTTCTCAACCCAGGGATCAGACCCAGGTCTCCATTTAGGGGTTTGAATTATTTTTACAACTTGTATCCATTATTTTTTCAGTTCCTAGAAAGTCTTTATAGGTGGAGAATAAATTGCCTCAAAGCAATCAAAACTACTTACATAGAAATATTAAAATCTGGAAACATTTGGTTTTTAAAATATATCCCTGTAATTGCAACAAAATTAGGTAGCGATATTCTCTTTCTAATTATTGGCTACTCTTCCAAACAAAAACATCAGAGTGATGATAATGATAACTCCTGCCGGGGGTTGGCAGTGCACATTTTAACAAAAAGATTTTTCACTCACCAGCTTAGCTGCTGGCGCCATCTAGTGACCGATGCCACTCACAAACAAAGATAGGCTGAGAAAACGTACTCTCAAGAGTTCGATCCAGTCTTTTCTTTTTGAGAGCAGAAACAGGTGACAGAGGATGAGACGGCCGGATTTCATCACTGACTCAATGGACTTAATAACAACAACAGCAATACTACAGAGGAGGAAACCGGAAATGCTTAATATTTATGCTGCAATTTGAAAGTTATCATAGGAAAGAAATGGAAAAAATTACTAACGTATTTCACAGGAAATGCACTTAAAGATAAAACTGATCATATTGAGATTAAATAATGATTTATAAAAGCAAATAAGCAAATATTTTGGAACCATCTTTATACCAAAGAGTAAACGTAGAAATAATGATGAATTGCTAAAAAATTCTTGTTTCTATGGGAATATTATATAAAGTTCGAGTGCATTTTTAAATGGAGCAAGTGAAATTGAAACCCATACCTTAACTGGAACACAAAATATTTCATTATCATCATCAGGAATTAGAATGGTGAAAATTCCAGAATTGAAACCCCATGACTTTTTTATTTGAAAACATGCACCCCACCATCCCTTCCCTGGTGGCTCAGATGGTCAAGAATCCACCGGCAATGCAGGACACCTGGGTTCGATCCCTGGGTCAGGAAGATCCCCTGGAGAAGAGAATGGCTACCCACTCCAGTATTCCTGCCTGGAGAATTCCAAGGACAGAGGAGACTGGAGGGTTACAATCCATGGGGTCGCAAAGAGTTGGACTAGACTGAGTGACTAATACATACACACACCCCCATCCCTAGGCCTCACAGTGAGAGCACATTTGTCTAGAGAAGTTTCTCTCAGCATCTCTTGCTCCTTATATTAGCGCTAATTTCACGTCGGCACAGTC